CAGTAGCTATAAAGATCTTCAGCTTGGCTGCAAAGCAAATCTAAAAATGTAGTGGCTTGAGAAAGAACAACAAGACTTCTATGATCTTTTCACTGCTTAGTATGAGAGCTACAAACCACAGGGAAGTCCACTGTGGAAATGTGAAGTTGTCTCCTTCCCTCTTAATAGAAGGCTTGTGCTTTTATTCTCCCTCAGTTAAAGACTGCATCAAATATTGCACCTTCCATGCAGGCAAAGTGACGTTTAACAGTTATTTATCTAAACTACATAAAACTTACTTCCCATTTCAGGTGGTCATGTTGTTATGATCTAGTGGTGTTGTACTGAGTTTTCAGTCAGGCTCTGAGAGGAAGTACAGTAGGTGAAACTTATGTGTACAAAATGGAAAATAATTTTGTTCTGTGATATATAAATAGAAATGCTAAAATAACCCCCTCCCAAATGATTTTCTTTTGTAAGACCCCATGAGCCAGCCTATTCTGAAATACAGCAATTATGGGCTACTTTTAATGGTTTGTTTTCTACTGATAATTCAGCTGCACATACTTAAAAACTGTGTTATGCACTTAAAGAAAAAACCAAACCCCCCCCTCAAAACCCCACTAAACCTTCCCAGACAGATATATTTACACTGCAAGTTGTTACCCAAATGTCTGAACGTAATTTAGCCAACACCATCTTAATTTATCTTAGTGAATTGAGAAGCTGAAGCCTGTGCAGTCATAATTACTTTTTTTCCAAGAGGATGACTCCATTCATTGCCCAAGACAAAGTACTCTCTAAGTGACAGTGATCCAGGGTTTTCTTTGTCTTGATGGATACTCGTGGCTTAGGAACTGTACATCACCCACGCTGCCTGATTAGCCTGAAGAAGTAGAGCCTGTGAGCACAAGCTCTCTAATAAGCCGAGGATCTTAAAACCCACTCGAAGGACTGCTCAGGTTTCATTCCTCCCTTTGCAGGATTTGTTAACTCTCAGCTAAATCAGGTAAGAGTTCTGGCCCTCCAACCAAGCCATTATTCATCTCCTCCTCCTCCTCTAGAGATACTTATACTTGAACACAGCCAGGCACAGCCCTATTACCCACCCACACAATTACCGTAGGTGCTTTGCTGCCCAAGTCCTACATAGATTCTTGATGCACAATACAGCAGAGTAACTCCCTCAACTGACTAATGTTCCAACACTATCTTGTGGAAAAAGCTGTGCTATGAGCCTCATGTTCCTTACAAACATAACTTAGTAGTGCATTATGTGACCACATAAAGGAGATTAATGCATATGACACAGCGCAGGTTCGCTCAAAACTCGTTGGATCAACCAATTCACCCACTACTACACCCTAAATCAGTTTTACTGAACACAAAGACACATTTCAAATACAAATCTGCAGCTATACTGAAACCAAATATTACATATTTTTCAGCTGAAGAAATCCATTAAATGATTAATGTATATGGCAGTATTAATATGGGTTCAAAGAAGAGTCTGCATATCTGTGTCCATCAGCCTTTGAAAATGAACTTTTTTCCTGAGGGATTACAAATTCTTCCAGTAATTCTAACCAAATACCACATAATACACCCTTTTTCTTCTCCCCTCCACGTAACCTTACTGAATAGAAGGTGTCAGCACGTTATAAATCCTACGTTTTAGATTGTGTGCAGGATTCCAAAAGCCCAAGACCAAAGGCAAAGGAGAAGATATAATGATCTTTTTGCTACTGCGTGTCACTATATAAGGTCATTTTCGTGACCTTTTCCCCTTACTTTCTTCTTTTACATTCTATATTTTGTAAGAAAAACTGGATCAATTAGTTGAATTCAACCAAAGTCTAACCTTTAATTAAGCACTACACCAAATCCACAATCTTTCAAACAGTTTGCCTGACAGATACCTTACAATCAAGACCACGTGCAGAAGGCACAAAGTTTTTGCTGCTGCCTCCACATTCAGGATACACAAACTAAGGAAATAGAAAGGAAAACACGCAGAGACCATCGGCAAGGGAACTCGAGCTACTGGTAAATAACTTTCCTTTCATGATGCATTCTGGATGGATGAAGACTGCTGTATACATCATTTCCACCTTTAAACAGTAGTGCTGCTGGCTGAGTATGCAAAAGCAGAAAACTGAAAAGTAAAGGATCACATTAAAGTCTTTCTGTTTATGCACCATTCAAAATGATTTCACTACCACATTACAGTGAGTCTCCTAGCCTCAGTATTACAGACGAAGTGTACACAGTATCTTGTAAGTGATCCCAGTCTACCTTTAGCCTAAGCCAAGGTCTCGACTTTCACATCTATCTCAAGTGTCTAACTCATGCCAGACTTGTCCCCGAGGCAGCCTGCTCCCTTTTAAGTTGCTACAGCAAGTGCTTTTTAGACCTGCCAGCAAATACATTGATGCAAGTGATCTACTCCTCCCTGTCCTTCTTTGGTCAGGGTAATGAAAACTGTTCACTTACCTCTCTCTGCCTTTATTTCACATGCAAGTGTTTCTGCTTTTGCCTCAAACAGCTCCATAACTCAACTTTAAAACATGGGATAGAGGATCAACAAATACTTTAAAATGCTATATTTTGCTGTTTGACCTCAGTGACATCCTCTTAAGCAAAAGTAAGGAAGCTCATCAAAATCTGAGTTTAATTTGACTGAGATTCTGTGCTCAAAGTATTGGGACTGTCTGCTGGCTCATGCTGACTCATCTGGTCTCAGTGTTTCTAAATGTAACTTACTAAACTGTTGCTCAGTGGATTTAAAACAAAATTACAATTTAAGATTAAAACAAAACACTTTTTGTTTTAATATAGAAAAAGGTTTCAATAGATCCTTCCAAAACTTAAAGCATTTAGAGAACACAAAGTAAGTTTTTAAAACGTGTAACTACTGTTTTAAGAGTTAACTGGGGGAAAAAAAATAATGTAACAACTAACTAACAGGCTAAGAAAACTATTGCAACAGAGAAAACATAACCAGCTCAACTTCCTCTACAGCTTGTTTCTGTAAAACATTCTCTGGGCTGTACTTCCTCACTGGCAGGGGAGGCAGAACATCGCTTCATATCCAAACAGTCACAACTGGCTGTAGTACAAAGAGAGGGAGTGAAAAAAATATTGCAGTCTTAAAATTTGCTTTACAATCTAACCAAACCACTGTAAGACCTCGTAGCAGATCAGAACTTCCCTTGTAACTTGTTGGCTTTTATCTTTCGTTGAGGCAGACTTGGAGGTAAAAAAAAAAAAAAAATTAAAAAAAAAATTACAGAACCTCTGAAGGTTCTGCTTTTATAAACTTCTACACTCAGAAGTGTTTTCTATTGAAACTCCAAAGTAAAATTGCAGAAAGTTGTATGTAAAAAAGAGTTTGAAGCCTTCAGACTATCCCTTAATAGCTCCATTAACTAGAAAAATGGATGATTTACTAGAATCATCTCCCTGCTCCATTTCTTTGTCAGGTTCTGGATAGTTTTTCCAGTGGCAACAGGAACAATTTAGATTAATTGCAGTAATGACCTCGGTACTCTCCAATTTTCTGGGTGAATGACGAACACAATAGGTAACAATAGATTTGTACCTTCAGTTTGAGAAATGAACCCACACATTCAGGTGATGATGAGCAAGGTTTTGCATAGGCACAAAAATCCAACTGCAGGTTCATTTGCGAGCCCTTTTTTGGCTCATGAAGCCACTTTGAAATTCAGTGTGTTAGTCATTGCACAAAACAGCAAGAAGGAAGTGGCAGGAGCTGAGGTTCACACCTTTTAACGTGACAAGAAATGAGAGCTAAGCCCCAAAAGCTCTATTCCATTTGCTGATGCTTGCAAAGCTCTGGCTGGCACAACCTTCTCCTGAAAAACCATTTCACCTCTTGCTGGAAGGAAGTGAAAAGAGGTAGGGCTGTCATCAAGCCTACACAAGGTCCTGGAAGAAAGGACTTACCTAATTTCCTTTGACTGCCACAGAAGATCCAAACCCTTTAGATACATATCACCACTAACACCCTTTATTGCTGGTGTTGCTACACGTTTCAAAAAGACAGAGTACACTTTGAACTGCTCACGTGGGATGACGTGATTAAAAAGAAGCATTGAAGAGCATTTTAAACTCAAGTCATTGTTCTGAATTTTGTAAAAGTAATATGAGATACTTAATAAAAAAATTATCTATGTATGAATTGGCATAGATCTTACAGATGATTGGTGAAAAGACTTAGGAAGGAATTAATTAGGAATTACGACATACTTAGCAACCAAGGCAGAAAACCTAGGGGGTGATGGTAAAAAAGAAACCTATCTGCTTCACCCTCCCCAAAACTCCTAATTAGAAATAGCAGCAGCTTTAAGAAATCATCAGTCCTGTGTTTCTGATGTTGCTATTAACATGCAGCTTCCCACAATTAATGTATAACAGAGACTTATTTTTAAATAACTTTCAATGGTTCATTTCCCAGGAACTAGAATACCAGGGACAGAACTCCATAGGTCATATTTTATCATGCTCTCTCCTCTAAGGAAATGAGTGCAGCTACTTACAAATCAAGTCATCATTTTAATCAGATTTTGAAAACATGATAGAGAATGGTGATGAAAAATTTTGGGAACCAGTAATCTCAGCTTCCAGTCACACCACTATTTTATGAAAAGGCAATATCAGAGTGTCCCCCTAAAAGGCAGTAAACTGTGAAGCAAAGGTAGAACTATCACAGGTTCCGAAATGTTTATGATGGCTTATTCCTTTGATCAGTTTAATAAAGGACCTCCTGTAATCATCAAAAATGCACAGAAGAATGCATCCTCAGCTCATTTTCCTGCAGGAAGTCACAGTGCAAAAGACAGAAGATGCAAACACAGAGTACTAGTTCACACCAGCCTGTCTCACCCACCAAGTTAAATCACAAGACAAACAAGGACTATTCAAACATTTGAAGTAGAAACCAGGAAGAGCTGTATGCACAAGAGCAGAACAAGACAGACCCAAATCAAGAACATCCTTACCTGAACTGAAGGTGCTGTCTCTTGAGATTGCTTACTGGTAGTTCCTTGGAAAGATGCTAAAGCAGAACTGTCAGTCTTGTGTAACACTGGACCATCAACCCTGGCAGATGCATCTGTCCTATGTGACTGCCACGTCTCTTTTCTGTGATGAGATTCACCAGCTTGCTCATCTCCAAAGGCAGCCCAAGAACAGCTGTCTTTTTGTTCATCTCCAAAAGCATTCCAGTCTGTAGCCTGGTTACAACCTAAAAACTGAACTGAAATCCGCAAAGTCGTCAGAGTCCTGAAAAGCAACACTCTCATCTTGAGGTTTTGGCACTGAATCAAAGTCTCCAAATTCACTATCATCACCATTTTCTACCTCAGTAGTACGCTGGAAGTCTAAGCCTGAAGTTTTACTGGTAGTATCACATTCTAAAGTGTCAGCAGTCTGATTTAGCTCAGCTTGATCCAACCTTGCTGACTGCTGAGAAACAGTACTTGTGTCCCTGAATTCACCAAATTCATCACAGGCTTCGCTAATATGTGTGGGTTGTTCTGACATTCCTTCTAAATCTAGAGCAGTTATCGATCCTTGAGCATTAGTGAAGGTGGGAGATGCACTGTTGACTGAACCAAAATCACCAAAGTCATCATCACGTGTGTCACTGCAAACTACAACTTCAGTACTACTCCCACCATTCTTAAAACCTTCAGATTCACCCAGTTTTTCTCCTTCCAGATCACTGCTTAGGCTTCGGACCTTATCAACCTGGATGTCCTCTGTTCCCAAAGAGTCATCAGGTCTAGGAAAATCTTTGCCATTCTCTGTGCTACGTTGTCTTCTCCTCCCACTGTGTCCTCCGTTTTCAGTAGTGCATATTGAACTTCCAGTTGTTCGAGACGTACTAGAAATTGCAAGTTCATTATCTTCCAGTGCTGAGGGACCCTGTTCACAGCTAATTTCTGAAATGCAAATCTCTTCTTCAGTACAAGTTACTCTGTTTATTCTGTTGTTCTCCTGAATGCTCAGAGAGTCTCTTTCATTAACAACACTGCATATTGTAGGTTCTGTTCCTTCTAAATGGATTGGTTTTTTGTTTAAGAACGTAGCAAAATCTGCAAAGTCTTCACCTGAGCTAGGCATTGAGTTCAAATTTTGCTCAGTACTATGGGTGCTAACAGTTTTCAGTCCCTTTGAGTCACTGATGTTGTCTAGATCTTCTGTTCCCTGAGGATTTACAGGGTCCGACGCTGCAAATCCGTTTGTTAGAATCTCTAGACACGGAAGCTTCTCACCATTACAAGCATCTCTTTGCTCATCCTGGCTCTCAACTGCTATCCCAGTCCTAACGACACAAGAAGAAAAACCCTCCAATTTCCCAGTGTTGTCTCTTTGTTCCCCTCTTTTATTTACATCATCTAAAGCAGTACCTGAAGTTCTAAACTTAGATTTTTCTTTGCTGGCACTAGTAGCTGACATATCAGAAAGTTCCTTAGTAAGAGTAGGAAGCTCTGCAACACCATCTTTAACATTTTTAACCGATGTGAAAGTTGCAATGCTAGCTACATTGTCAGAATAATCATGAAGTGGGATGAAATGATTTGTAGGTATAAACTCCTCCTTTGGATGACTGTAGTCTGGCGTATCGAAATCAGCAAAAGCTACACCAGCAGCGCTTACACCAGAAAATCCTCCAAATTCTCCAAATTCATCTTCATCATCATCATCAGCTCCATTGTCTAGTGGTGGAGGAGATGAGGAGTACATTCGAATAATATCTGGTTCCATTGTTTAGCTCCACTTCAAAGTTAATGCATTTCTATAATAGGGGGGAAAAAAAAAAGAAGAATATTAGAATTTGGCTAACTTTTGCCATCTCGTATTTTTTATTTTTACCATTTCACATTTTATTTTCAAAATAAGCATATAGGTCAATGACCATATTAGATATGAACATTTTCTAACCAAACTCATTTTCTAACCAATTCTATGATTTGAGAAGCCACAAAGAATCTACTGGGGACAGTTCAACTCTGTTGTAAACTGCTGTATGATCATATTCTCAGCAGACAGCGCTGAAACGCCAGGACACGAATCACGTTTGTCTCCAGCTGCTGCGCGACACGCCAACACAACTCATCTGAGTTTTAACCCACCAGTCCATCTTTCCCGACACTCATCAGCGCACTCAGCTGACTGTGTGACAGAAATTAGGCCATTTGATAGACTGTGCCTCAACAGTCATGTATTTAAGGCACCTTCAGGCAGTATTTTCACTGAAATTAAGCCATTTGATGGACTATACCTCAACAGTCACACACTTAAGGTACCTTCGGACAGTAGATCCAAAGACTCAAGGGCAAGTGTCGGGTGTTGCACCTGGGCAGGAACAACCCCAG